CTAGTCTTATCTAGAAAGCATAAATCTTTACTTAAAAGGACTTAACTCCATCACTGCCCTTGACAGAAAAATAGGCACTTAAGACATGCTGAATACTTTGGTCAGTAATTATATGTACACTATTAAGTTCAGAATGGACCACACAAGGAGGACTCTGGTTAATCTGGCATCACAGCTCACTGGAAGAATAAGAGCTGAAAGCAGGTTATTTGATTAACTTCTCCTGGTAGGAAATTTCATGAAAATTAATGAAAATACTTACATGATCTAAACATACACACATAGTTCTATAAGGAAAGAAACATCAACTTACATGGGCCATGGTTTTAGACCTGCAAGAGTAGATCAGTTCTCAGGGCTCCTCTACCAGAAAAGCACAGATCCAGAAAGCCAGAGCTGGGAGAAGAGAAAGACCTTGAGTCCAGTTTTGCTTTAGTGTTCTTGACAGAACTTAAGTTATTTAATATTGCTGTTATGCTCTTCCATTCTAGGTTCTAAATTATTTCCCATCATACACAATTTGGGCAGATTAGGGTGCTGGATAAATCCATTTCCTCCCCCAAATTATGGGGGTCTCTGCTGGCAACAATGTCACAAAACAGAGGCATTTCTGTATCAAAGACAAACTGAGATATGTTATCAGGAAGTTTTCTGGCCACCGTGTCATTTTGGTGAGGTAGATGTAGACCTGAGATTGGAAAGCAGAGTTCTGTTCTGAGTAGATCTTCTTCCTTCTATACCCACCTTCTAAGAATGAAAAGAGCCCACCTTATCCAAACCAGAACCTCTTCTTTGGCTTTGGAATTGAGTAAAGTTAGTTAAGACACTGGAGATGGAAAGGTAGTGTTATTTCGACTCCAACAAAGCTTACTAGTTAAATGTATGACAGATCATCATCATACTGGAATCCAAAGTAGACATCAAATGTGAAGTTGTGAAAAATATTTAAAGATACAAGAAACATTTCAGATATACTGTCAATGGAAAAATCAGGTTGACTAATATAATTACTGTTGTAAAACATATAACATTTAAATACGAAATGTCCAAATTTGAATCAAAAGTTTGGTTTATTATATCTCAAACAAGAAGCAGTATAATTAATCAAAGTAATGCACCTAAACTATTGACATAATTTTGCCATCTTAACGATAGCTTGTTTACGCCAGCAGCAAAGAAGCCTGGAGAGCAAGTGGCGATGAAATTGCAAAAGCCATTTTCCACAGCTTGTTGAGAATTGAATATTTTTCCTTGCAAGAAGTGGTCCAAAGCCTAGAAGAAGTGGTAGTCAGTTGGTGCAACGTCTGGTGAATATGGTGGATGACAGAGAGTTTCCAAGTCCAGCCTCTATAGTTTGAGCAGCGTTGTTTGTGTGCAACATGTGGTCCAGCGTTATCTTGCAAGAGGATTGGTCTATCTCTATCGACCAATCTCGGCTGCTTAATCACAAGCAGCCTCATCATTTCGTCCAATTGGTTGCAACAGATGTCTGCTGTAATCGACTGACCAGGTTTCATGAAGCTGTAGTGGATAATATCAGCACTGGACCACCAAACAGATACCATTAGCTTTTATTGATGAATATTCAGTTTTGGACTGTGTTTTGGCACTTGATCTTTATCCAACCTTTGTGCCGAATGCTTGCAATTGTCAAAAAGAATCCATTTTTCATCACACTTAATAATATGTTACAGAAATAGTTTGCCTTTATGTTGTGATAAGAAAGAAAGGCAAGCTTCGAGGCGATTTCTCTTCTGACGCTCATTTAATTCATGTGGTACCCATCTATCTAGCTTCTTTACCTTGCTGATTTATTCCAAATGGTCTGATATTGTTAGAATAGTAATGTCAGACCTTGCTGCTGATTCATGCATAGGTTGAGATGGATTCGCTTCCCCTACAGCTTTTGGCTCATTATTATCCACCTTGATCTCGGGTCACCCATGTGGCTCATTTTCAAGATCAAAATCACCAAAATGAAACTTTTCAAACTGTCCACATACTGTACGTTTATTAGCCACATCCTTCCCAAACACTTCATTGATATTTCGAGCTGTCTGTGCACCATTGGTTCCACAAGAACTCATATTTGAAAATAACACAAATTTTTGAGTTATCCATGGTTTCACAAAAATTGCTCTAAAAAAAATTTGAAAGATAATCACAAGCCAAACCATGCATTTGAAAGAATGAGGATGTACCTTCACAATAAACATAAAACAATAAGTGTCAAAGTGAAATGTCAGAGAT